TATAAATTATGACCTGTAGGTGTTATTGCTTTTCATCCTCTTTACACGCAAAATACTCACTATCCAAGAGGGAGTTCCCGTGTTGAATTACTTCTACGTGCCACTCGTTGTAAGAAAGTCTCTTTAGAATTTTTTATTTACTGGGACTAGTTTCTGGTTGAGACGGTTTTTGACAGACAGGTTTATCTTTCTTTGACAGACAGTAGTATTAGGTTCATACTTGCACAAGACTACAGCTTCTTCAGCGTCTATGCAATGTGCGTGGACACCTTGTTTCTGTAAGTTTTAAAATAATTATGTATAATTTTGAATATTAATATAATATTTGGTTTCATTCATAAAGCTTTATTCAGAGTGTTATGTTGCTTGAAATTATTTTTGTTCTGTATGTCGATCTAAAAACTTCTCTCAGCTTTTAACAGCTGTTTTTCAAATTTATTTGTGCAAAAAATATTTCTAAAATGTAGTTCTATTTCAGTTTTACACATCTGATTTGCTGATACATTTAACCTTTATTTGTCTGTTTCCTCCTGAACACCATCTTTTTCTTCTCTTTCAATCCTATGACAATATATGGCATTCACAGGCAAAGACATAAAGAAATGATGGGACAACACCCAAACCTTTCCTCATATCTCCTGGCCTGAAAACAATTTCTGACATGGACCCTACACAGCATACTAACATGTTTCCCTCTTACTTCTGACTACTGCCTTATTCTGGAAAAAATTATCACTCACTCAACAACTGGTATTTAAAAAGCTGCCTGAGCTTGGACACCTTGAGAAAAGAAAAAGTTGAACATGAGAGTTAACTGACTCGTTTGCTTTTTCAGTGTAAAACTGAATGACTGATTCATAGTTTTCTTCTCACAATTTGAGCTGTTTTTACAGCTGCAAACGAACGAGATTAAAGTGGCCTTTATACAATCAATTTAGGTCAACATTCTGCATTGAGCTCTAGATGTCTGTCTAGTTTTCTGTTTTATTTTTTATTCATATTTATGAATTAATGTCGATCACTCACTCAACAACTGGTATTTAAAAAGCTGCCTGAGCTTGGACACCTTGAGAAAAGAAAAAGTTGAACATGAGAGTTAACTGACTCGTTTGCTTTTTCAGTGTAAAACTGAATGACTGATTCATAGTTTTCTTCTCACAATTTGAGCTGTTTTTACAGCTGCAAACGAATGAGATTAAAGTGGCCTTTATACAATCAATTTAGGTCAACATTCTGCATTGAGCTCTAGATGTCTGTCTAGTTTTCTGTTTTATTTTTTATTCATATTTATGAATTAATGTCAGTTTTCCCTTCTCAAAACACTTCAACAGATGTTAACAAACCCTCACAGGTTTAGGTCTTTAAAAAGCACCATATACCTTAGCAAAGGGCTTTCATAGTATTTTCTTTTGTGATTGCAAGTGATGTGGCATGGAAAAAGACAGTCCTTGTTGTAGACATACAGTACATGCCTCGTTTAGGATTGGCAAGTGAGGTTCAGTGAAAAATAAGCACACTATCTCCTACTGCAACAGTTGATTTCCAGATGCTTAAAGAACTGTTAACTATTGTTTAATTACATCCATCTTTTCTTGAAGGATTGTTATGAGAATAATTGGAAATAAAGCAAGAACTGTCCTGCTCAATGATGTCTGGAGACATTTAGGTTCTGTACTGTGAGTTACAAGTGCTATCATTTTTTAAACCTAGATTAAAACACTTTTGTATTATTTTAGAAGTGGTATTTATTTATACCACACATTTTTTATATATCTAAATTAATACAACTATTTAAAGAATACTACAAGTTTTTGCGAGATTAAACTGACCTTTTTAGTAGCCTAATGTTGAGAGTTCTTTACTCGCTTTCTGTACACAGTTTATTCCATGTTTTTATTATTATTTTATTTTACAAGAGAACTTGCTTAGTCTTGATTTACAACTATTGCGTAAAATAGAAATAAATGCATAAACGCATACTGTTTTGTCCGCGTATCCTATAAGAATAGGCCTATGTCGTGCAATAACGGTTTTAATATGTTCTATTCAATAACATTGTTAACCGTTTTTATTTATAACATCTGCTGCTTTGCTTCTGTGAAAATGAATAGAGACATCAGCCTTAAACTTTGTTTTTGTCATTTACATCAGTTTTTTTTTGTATAAAATACACTATATATTTTTGTGTCAGTACATTAATGGAGACATACAGTACATGCCTCGTTTAGGATTGGCAAGTGAGGTTCAGTGAAAAATAAGCACACTATCTCCTACTGCAACAGTTGATTTCCAGATGCTTAATGAACTGTTAACTATTGTTTAATTACATCCATCTTTTCTTGAAGGATTGTTATGAGAATAATTGGAAATAAAGCAAGAACTGTCCTGCTCAATGATGTCTGGAGACATTTAGGTTCTGTACTGTGAGTTACAAGTGCTATCATTTTTTAAACCTAGATTAAAACACTTTTGTATTGTTTTAGAAGTGGTATTTATTTATACCACACATTTTTTATATATCTAAATTAATACAACTATTTAAAGAATACTACAAAGACATTTCCCTGAATGCTTTCGCTCGTTTCCCTGAACGCTATTCCCTCTATTAAACCGCCATTGAAATGCATTAAAACTTCAACACCCCCAATTTTTCAAAACATTGTTTTGTGGATCGCTCATCAAAAACCATTAGCTATAGGCCTATGTTTAACCTTACAATGATATTTTAATCATAAGCATTCCAATAACATAATACCGAAGTTAACGGAAATTGCTCTTAGTTTGGGATAAGTTAAACATGAAGACATTTGATGCTTAACCCATGTGCACGTAAAATCATCCTTACAACTCTAGGGGCCTCATTTATACAATGTGCGTACGCACAGATTTGATCTTACGCTAAAATCCACGGCAACGTTCATATTTTAAAAAACGGTCTTTGACGTGGAAAAGTACTTACCGCCACATCAAAGTCTGAGCAGGCGTATGCACTTTTCCTTGTGGCAAAGTCGAAGTACTGCAGCTATTTGAACATCTAAGCTGCACTAATAATAAAAGCTGTGTACGTGCAAGCACCGAATTCATCATAAACAACAAAGACACATTGTAAGAGATTAATTGTGCAGTGTAGTTAGATTTTTTTATTAACGGGAGTTTTTGCGAGATTAAACTGACCTTTTTAGTAGCCTAATGTTGAGAGTTCTTTACTCGCTTTCTGTACACAGTTTATTCCATGTTTTTATTATTATTTTATTTTACAAGAGAACTTGCTTAGTCTTGATTTACAACTATTGCGTAAAATAGAAATAAATGCATAAACGCATACTGTTTTGTCCGCGTATCCTATAAGAATAGGCCTATGTCGTGCAATAACGGTTTTAATATGTTCTATTCAATAACATTGTTAACCGTTTTTATTTATAACATCTGCTGCTTTGCTTCTGTGAAAATGAATAGAGACATCAGCCTTAAACTTTGTTTTTGTCATTTACATCAGTTTTTTTGTATAAAATACACTATATATTTTTGTGTCAGTACATTAATGGCACATTTGAGCAGCATTAGTAAACTGTGTAAACAAAGAAATGCCAAATCACATTCAGTTTTTTTCAGACTGGTAGACCATAGTCCTGTAATAATTTTATGATATGAAACGTCCAATTTTTCTTTCATTTTTTTTTTTTTAAGTTTTGCAATAATTTCGTGATAGCCTACTAAACTTTTTATTAGTTGTCATAGCAAGTGATTTTAAAAGTAGGATGGCTCACTTTTTATAAAATAACTGAATTTTACTTGAATTCGTACTTTCGGAAACCTAATCGTTTTATAAATTTACTACGACTACTACTATTATAATTATTACTGTTTCTAGAAGTACTATTTTGATAATAGTCGATAGAAAAAATATATATAACCACACACACATTGTTTGTCCACAGAATAATTACTTATTAAATAAAAAAGCGTCCCCGAACAAACCTCTTCCTCCGCCAGGCAGGACCTCAATTTCAGACTCAGTAAAGTTCTTTTTTTTTCTCCTTCGTGCTCGTCACTCTCAAGCATAGGCAACATTTTATAAATGAGGCCCTAGATGTGGAGCAAAATTAATCAGCTGCACAAGCCTTTTACACAACCAACTTGCTGAGAAAGATCCTCGGGTCTTGCAAGAAGACTACTTCTAGCAATCATTGTGCTACACGTGATAATAGTCGGTCCAGTGCATCCACATTTGTCGCATTTTATTTAAACATACAAAGTTGAATGCTCTTGGTCTGCATAACTCAATACTGATATCCTAGCAAACTGCTTTTTAGTGCACTGCATCTATGAGGTGTACAAAAATTAAGCATGATATCAGACCAATATATCAAAACGGACAGTGTCAAAGTGCAAGAGCATATAATAAAACGCTTTGTATGCCACAAATAAATCAAATTTGTTTAACATTATACAGATGTACAATTATGGGTGCATCTTGAACATTTGTGTTTGAATTAAATTATAACGTTTTCTTTCATGATTCACAATGTTTGTAATTTAATTTAAACAGCATTTAATAACCAGTTTAATTTATTGCTCAATTAGAATTATTTCCTAGAAGCACAGCAAACTTTCTACAAGTTTTTCCAACCATATCTATACTCACAAGAGAACTCAAACCTCTGATGATTCAACTCAAAGTTCTCAAGCAAAACCAGTGTGTGTATATATATATATATATAAATAAATAGCTTTAATTTGCTCAATGCTAGAGACAAATCTGATTTTATTGGCTTTTCTTCACCTTCCAATTTTATTTAGAACAATCAAAAATAAAATAAGTTTGTCAACTAAACCAGAAACTAAGAACTCCATGGTAGTTTTTAAAACAAAGTGCTCAAATCACATACAAGAAATAAATTAAATGAAATTTATTCCATCACTATATAGATATATATTTATATATTAAACAAAAACTTCAGGCTTTGTTCTCAATTAAGACTTTAAACATTGCAAGACAGATATCCTTCAGTAAGTGCCCATGAAAGAAAGTAGCATGGGTCTTGTTCAATAGTCAGTATAAGAACCAAGATTTCCTCATGCTGTCCTCTGGAGTCTGACCTGACCATGTGGCAGCAGTGGATGTCTTAGGCATGGCTGATGGGCAGCGGTGTCATTGAGTGCGGCAAGAGAGGCTGCAGAACCAGTGAAGAGGGAGAGTGGACTACAAAGATGAAAAGTTAATGTCTAGTCTCAACTTCAGTCATGAAGAGCTGCTCAGCATGTGCACTAAATAAAAACAATAACGTATAAGTAATATTTTATTTTATTAAGACTTGATTTAGCTAGTATGAAAACGCATTAAAAAAAATGCACACATACATAGACTATAGTGATATTCCACATAACATACCATCCATATAGGAGTGTAGCGCAGTCAGCATAGGGGTGTCTACAGGGGCAAAAGCGGTGTACTGAAATTCATCTATTAGAGGAGAAAGCCGAGTGGACTGCAGAGATGACACTGGTGCGCCTGAAGAGGGATTTGGGCTAACATGCTTCTTATGACGAGCTCGACAGTTCTGAAACCAAACCTGAGCGGCAGATGGATGAAGTATTGACAGTACACTAGTATAGTTATAATATAATAGTAGTAGTATGCATGAAAAGTTAAAATAAACGCAAATAAAAAAAATATTATATGCGCTATACACGCACGATAGATAGATAGATACCTGAATAACCCTCCGGCTTAGACCAGTTCTTTCTGCCAACTTTTGTAAAGTCTGGGCGTCTGGATTGTTGTCCTGAGCAAACTGGGCTTGCATTACCTTAATTCACATTAAAAAAATAATAATAAACTGAGCAGCCAATGCAAGGAAATGGATACTATATGTTTAAGTATCTAGCATTTTTTTCAGAAGACATTAAGATAAACCAGTTCTTTCTGCCAACTTTTGTAAAGTCTGGGCGTCTGGATTGTTGTCCTGAGCAAACTGGGCTTGCATTACCTTAATTCACATTAAAAAAATAATAATAAACTGAGCAGCCAATGCAAGGAAATGGATACTATATGTTTAAGTATCTAGCATTTTTTTCAGAAGACATTAAGATAAGAACTTCAATATTAACCTGTAGCTGGTCAGCTGTAAAACTTGTCCGTGCCCTCTTGGCTGGTTTAGGCTGATTTACTTCCTGCTCTGAGGGAACAGCTCCCTCCACATTCACTCCTTTTCCTACAGCAAACCACAAAGTCCATCAACAAGAGTAGAATTTAACTGAAGCTCTAGATTCATAGGAGCTAAATGAATGCAGGAGGAGTTAACATTGTGTTAATTTTAAACATTTGAGAAGATATACTAGATAACCATTAAAAATGACAACATATTTGCAAAATCTAACCATTCTCCATGACACGTTTCAGGTTGTCCAACATGCAGTCGTAGTGCACACGACACAGAACCCTCTCATCTATCAGGGCAAACTCTTCTCCTGTGGACAGCTGTCTCTTGCAAGAGAAGCATGCAAAACAAGCCAGGTGGTAGGTGTTTCCTTTTGCTCTGCGGACCCAGTCGTTTGAATGGATGTTCCTACCACAGTGAGCACAACGTGTTCCATACTTCCTGCGAGAAAAAGTATTTGATAAGAACTTCCATCTTAAAAAAAAAAAGAAAAAAGTTAAACAAGATTGTTGCATTTCATTGTAGTGAGGCTAACAGCAGTTGTTTGATACAGCACTCCAGGAAAAACCACAGGGAAGGAATGAAAACACTGGTCGACTATTGTCTACCTAAAATGTAATGAAGTATTAAGTATGCAGTGTTTCGGTAGAAAACTAAAAAAAAAAAGAAAAAAAGAAAAAGTAAATCACTTAAGAAAACGCAGAGGCGTCGGCATATTGATGATCGACAGCACTTCCGAAATTATTTTCAGTATTTATCTTTCATAAATTGGGGGGGGGGGGGGTATGTTTTTCACCTGTTTTATTTAAACATACAAAGTTGAATGCTCTTGGTCTGCATAACTCAATACTGATATCCTAGCAAACTGCTTTTTAGTGCACTGCATCTATGAGGTGTACAAAAATTAAGCATGATATCAGACCAATATATCAAAACGGACAGTGTCAAAGTGCAAGAGCATATAATAAAACGCTTTGTATGCCACAAATAAATCAAATTTGTTTAACATTATACAGATGTACAATTATGGGTGCATCTTGAACATTTGTGTTTGAATTAAATTATAACGTTTTCTTTCATGATTCACAATGTTTGTAATTTAATTTAAACAGCATTTAATAACCAGTTTAATTTATTGCTCAATTAGAATTATTTCCTAGAAGCACAGCAAACTTTCTACAAGTTTTTCCAACCATATCTATACTCACAAGAGAACTCAAACCTCTGATGATTCAACTCAAAGTTCTCAAGCAAAACCAGTGTGTGTATATATATATATATATAAATAAATAGCTTTAATTTGCTCAATGCTAGAGACAAATCTGATTTTATTGGCTTTTCTTCACCTTCCAATTTTATTTAGAACAATCAAAAATAAAATAAGTTTGTCAACTAAACCAGAAACTAAGAACTCCATGGTAGTTTTTAAAACAAAGTGCTCAAATCACATACAAGAAATAAATTAAATGAAATTTATTCCATCACTATATAGATATATATTTATATATTAAACAAAAACTTCAGGCTTTTTTCACAATTAAGACTTTAAACATTGCAAGACAGATATCCTTCAGTAAGTGCCCATGAAAGAAAGTAGCATGGGTCTTGTTCAATAGTCAGTATAAGAACCAAGATTTCCTCATGCTGTCCTCTGGAGTCTGACCTGACCATGTGGCAGCAGTGGATGTCTTAGGCATGGCTGATGGGCAGCGGTGTCATTGAGTGCGGCAAGAGAGGCTGCAGAACCAGTGAAGAGGGAGAGTGGACTACAAAGATGAAAAGTTAATGTCTAGTCTCAACTTCAGTCATGAAGAGCTGCTCAGCATGTGCACTAAATAAAAACAATAACGTATAAGTAATATTTTATTTTATTAAGACTTGATTTAGCTAGTATGAAAACGCATTAAAAAAAATGCACACATACATAGACTATAGTGATATTCCACATAACATACCATCCATATAGGAGTGTAGCGCAGTCAGCATAGGGGTGTCTACAGGGGCAAAAGCGGTGTACTGAAATTCATCTATTAGAGGAGAAAGCCGAGTGGACTGCAGAGATGACACTGGTGCGCCTGAAGAGGGATTTGGGCTAACATGCTTCTTATGACGAGCTCGACAGTTCTGAAACCAAACCTGAGCGGCAGATGGATGAAGTATTGACAGTACACTAGTATAGTTATAATATAATAGTAGTAGTATGCATGAAAAGTTAAAATAAACGCAAATAAAAAAAATATTATATGCGCTATACACGCACGATAGATAGATAGATACCTGAATAACCCTCCGGCTTAGACCAGTTCTTTCTGCCAACTTTTGTAAAGTCTGGGCGTCTGGATTGTTGTCCTGAGCAAACTGGGCTTGCATTACCTTAATTCACATTAAAAAAATAATAATAAACTGAGCAGCCAATGCAAGGAAATGGATACTATATGTTTAAGTATCTAGCATTTTTTTCAGAAGACATTAAGATAAGAACTTCAATATTAACCTGTAGCTGGTCAGCTGTAAAACTTGTCCGTGCCCTCTTGGCTGGTTTAGGCTGATTTACTTCCTGCTCTGAGGGAACAGCTCCCTCCACATTCACTCCTTTTCCTACAGCAAACCACAAAGTCCATCAACAAGAGTAGAATTTAACTGAAGCTCTAGATTCATAGGAGCTAAATGAATGCAGGAGGAGTTAACATTGTGTTAATTTTAAACATTTGAGAAGATATACTAGATAACCATTAAAAATGACAACATATTTGCAAAATCTAACCATTCTCCATGACACGTTTCAGGTTGTCCAACATGCAGTCGTAGTGCACACGACACAGAACCCTCTCATCTACCAGGGCAAACTCTTCTCCTGTGGACAGCTGTCTCTTGCAAGAGAAGCATGCAAAACAAGCCAGGTGGTAGGTGTTTCCTTTTGCTCTGCGGACCCAGTCGTTTGAATGGATGTTCCTACCACAGTGAGCACAACGTGTTCCATACTTCCTGCAGAAAAAGTATTTGATAAGAACTTCCATCTTAAAAAAAAAAAGAAAAAAGTTAAACAAGATTGTTGCATTTCATTGTAGTGAGGCTAACAGCAGTTGTTTGATACAGCACTCCAGGAAAAACCACAGGGAATCAGGGCAAACTCTTCTCCTGTGGACAGCTGTCTCTTGCAAGAGAAGCATGCAAAACAAGCCAGGTGGTAGGTGTTTCCTTTTGCTCTGCGGACCCAGTCGTTTGAATGGATGTTCCTACCACAGTGAGCACAACGTGTTCCATACTTCCTGCGAGAAAAAGTATTTGATAAGAACTTCCATCTTAAAAAAAAAAAGAAAAAAAAAGAAAAAAGTTAAACAAGATTGTTGCATTTCATTGTAGGGGTCAAGTCAAACAGCGGTTTTTTTTCTTTTTTTTTTGCGTACACAACTAGCAAGCAGATTTATGTGGTTTATTTTTGCTATTGCAAAAACTTTATGACATGACCGCTAACAGAGGAACGATTTCTGATTTCATATGTTATCTTTATTGTTGTTTATTTGAATGCGTATTACATCACCTGCTGAACGTATGTTGGCTATTCGTTATTTATCCTCTTTTCACATGCTTCAGAATTCATCTTATTTCTTGATTTTGCAAAGGAGTGTTGTATTAATATAAAGAAGAAAATCCCAATTTAGTGCGTTACTCTATAGTTTTGGAATTCTAATGTAATAGTTTTTGGAATTCGAATTTAAACTCTGTCTTTCTTCCTCTGTTATGTATTCCACTATTTATTGTATTGTTTTCAGTTGTTCATGTTATGTCTTCTAATTTAATTGGTTTTAAATTCTAATTTTGTATTTCTATTTTGCCATAATTTTCTTATTCTATAGATTTTATTTTCTTGATTCTTTATGTACATGTTTGTTAGGTTTTGTGCTTAATGTATAAACCTTACTTTATGACTAGTCTGTTTTGTCACTATATTAAGATTGTTCTACCTACGTGTGGTTTAAGTGGTGACCTACTAACATTGTTCCTGTACTGATTCCATAGCAAGTTTAGATCCCCTAGCACTGTTGACTAGAAAAAATATATACAACAGTTCTTTCTGGTCCTCAAGTCTGATTAGCTAAGAGGTCTTTCCAGTCATGAGATATTCTACCAGTATTGCCACTGGAACCGTTTCACCATTTGTATCAGTCCGCTTGCAGCATTTCTCAAAGTGAGTATCATGGCAGAGGACCAAACCCACTACAGTTTTAAAAATAGCCTACTAATATTGCTGTGTCATAGAATGTAATTTTAAGAGTTTTTTTAGGTGAGAACATAGTTTAGACTTCAAATATCCGATTTATTAATCAGGGTCAGACTTAATGATTTGGAGGCCGTAAGAAAATTCAACTGTGGGGTTCTAACACCAACTATGTGTTCTTCTATCTTAATGAATAATATTGTGAGACATTCAGACAGTTGTCAAATGAGCAAGCAATACTTAACTCAGTTATTCTTACCTTAATTTAAAACTATAATCATTTTATTATTTATAATGAATTATTTGGCATTTACCGACAAGCCCCATTCCAGAATCACAACACTGGGGGTTTCTGAAATTAATGAGGGTGCTCTAGCCTTAGTTTGACTTATTTTTGACCCATCCATTTTGATTGAGAGTGAATCTCGCATTTATGTGCAGATGTGACTTCCAAAACTCTGCAGCGTGTAAGTCGTCCTGTCCTATTGGCAGCATGTAAAATCATTTTATTCAAATTCCAAATGGATTATATACTATGTAAGTGTGCAAAAAGCTGTCACTCATTTAAGTTAAACTGCAATCTGGAGAAGTTCAATTATGATCAATGAATTTCTACACTACACAATAAATCTCTTATTTACAAACACTTTGTCTAATGAGAGAATTCACAAGCACACAGAACTCAGGACTAAATAAAACTGCAGCATTTCAAAGTGGATTCTAACTTAAACACCTCTGATTGAACAGTGTGTTCAAAAAAATCAACAGATATGTCTGTGACTGGCTCATTGCTGTAAAAACATGTTGAAAATATTAATGTTTGATGCTCTCCACAATGGAAACAAAAAATATGCACTGGATTGTTTGCCAAATCTTTTTTGCCAATATTATATGGGGCAGCTGTTTACCTCACTTATTGGTTAAAGGGTTAGTTCACCCAAAAATGAAAATTCTGTCATTAATTACTCACCCTCGTGTTGTTCGAAACCCGTAAGACCTTCGTTCATCTCCATTATAAATTCAAGTTCACATAAACTCTTCTCTTCGCTGCAGCTGTCTGTCACCCTCCATTTAGCATTCACACTGCGTGTCACATTCAGTTATGACAGTCAAGACAATGAAACTCTCTCCAAGAGCGCACAGTAACTGAAATTTAAAACTGTTAAATGAAAAGGCTCAAACTATCGCACAGATTTTATAAACTATGCATCAATTTCTCTTTCTTTTGTGCTTTGAAATTCTCTTTGCGGAGCGATGCACGCGGTGACTCCGTCTTGCTTCAAGCGCATCATTCTGCGCACAGGATGCGCATAAGCGCTTTGTGCCGCTCTGTATTGGAGCTTTTCATATTATAATACTTTTGCAGCAATGAAAGGTTATTTATAGCGTTTCTTGTTCTGTCCTATGATAGGACAGTAAAAGAAAAGCTATTAATAATCTAATCTATCATGTTGCTGCCTTCATTACTGTGCTATACATTTAAAATAAATGTATTTTAATTTGATAGTTTATATAGATTTACTTGTTTTCATTAATGTATTTTGCAACAATACAAAGAACAATGTGTAACATTTTACCAGATTTAGTTCTACACCTTTTCACTTTTATTTGTTCCCCACTAAATAATGTTATTTCACTAAATGTTTAGATTTTATACAATTGTGCACTCATGATTTTCTAGAATAACTTTTGCTTCTAAATTATCCACTAACCTGGTTTATAATAGTATTTTTGTCATACATTGATTATATATTTTTTCATTTGTTATTTTTCATTAAAATGAAGTTGTCTATATTTAGTAGTTTGTGTTTAACACACAAAAGAGTGACGATCAGGTCAACACACAGAAGCAGGGGCGTAGCGTCTTGTAGGCAGGTGCATATGGGCCCGCTGAGCCGAGGGGGAAACTTTAATTGAAACGAGGGAATGAATAGAGCCCTGCACGGGGCCGGCCCTTCCGACAGCTTATCAGAATATCCCTGGCCCGAGTCTGACCCGAGCCTATGTCTTTTTTTCTCTCTCTTTCGTCCCCTTTACACAGCTGCTGTTGCCGCAAATAGGCTAGTCCAGTTTTGGTTTTTAATGGCAAAGTGGTTTCTTTATTAAGTTAATTTAGAAATATATTTGGAACATTTTATGTTTGTTAAATTCAAGTTGTTGTTTTTTAAAGTAACGACCAAGCGGCCAGCAACGGACTGAGTTGAGCATATATGTTTGATCAATTTAGCCTTCTCAAATCAACATGACTTGCCTAAAATAAAATCTATAGACATAAAACACTTCATGCAATTCACAATATTAATAAAAAAATGTAACCTAGATAAATGTGTGCTGTTAGACGCATATAAAGTCGTTTGTGCGGAGAGTGGAAGCTGAAGGTGCCGGCGCGATCACTTGCATTTTTTTCTTAAGAGTGGAGACTTAACATAGGCTGCCATTTTTGCTCATGAAG